GGGGGGGGGGGGGGGGGGGGGGGGGGGGGGGGGGGGGGGGGGGGGGAGATGAGAGACCCTAGAAATGAGGTTGTTAATCTATATATAAGATAACAGAAACACAATGATAAACAATGTTTTTGAACTCAGTTAAAAAAAAATAACACGATTTTCCAGTGGCATACGATCATAGAAATGATTGCTTGTTTTCCTCTGATGAATCACAAGCCTTTGCTGAACCTCATGTAATAATAATTGTTATTTCTTTTGTTGTCTTTTAGCCAATCAAAATGGACAAGTTCAAGGTCACCATGTGATGTGAAAACTATTGTCATTGAAGACTGTTTGTCATTGGGTGATGCTCTGCGAGAAATTGACCGACAGGTTAGAAATCAATACAGTATCACAACATGAATCAAAAGTCTGACGAAAGAGCTCTGTTTTCTTTTTTTTAAAGAGTATAATTTTGGAAGAGTTCTTTTTCATGAGCAATAAATTTATGGATACTTGATATGCTCCCAGAAAATGTCTGAAAATGATGACTGCTTTGCTTATGTTACATGTATACATACAATATGCCTTAAAAAAATAAACTAAGATTTGGCAGGACATGCATATCAAGGCATGTTACAGTGTATATATGTAATGAAATGTTAGGGGAGTTTCTTGCTGAATCTAACCTCCACCTTGTTTTCTCAGTCCTTCCTTAAGAATGACTTTGTTCTGGTGAGTGGTGATGTGGTATCAAATATGAAATTAGAACAAGTCTTACAAGAACACAAGTAAGTTTAATAAAAGTTATTATAAGGTTACCCTGTTTATTGAATGATTGATTGTGTCGGATGGAAATGTATTTGTGGGGGTTGTGGAAAGTACCCTCATTCTATTTACTCTGTAATCACACCCTCTATGATCATGACACCTGAGGGAAAGATGACATAATGTAGGAACATGGTACAGAAAGCTATAAATAATGTACATGTAGTTATACACTGAGCCTCCTTTTGACTAACAGGGATAGACGGAAAAAGGATAAAGCATCATTGATGACAATGGTTTTTAAAGTTGCCAATCCTGGACATAGAACAAGGTATTAGAAAGTGGGTTACCAGTATAATCTTAATAATGCAGTTAACCAAAGCCACTGTCTGCCCAGTGTCCTTGTGAATGGTTTTTCTTGATAATAAACACATTTAAATTGCATTATCTGCTAAGTTTTCCAGTTTTGTTTTGTTTTCCAAATGCAAATTATGGCATTTTGTTGTTGTTCTGTTTAAAACTGGAGTACTTTGTTCATCATCTGTAACAAACTTTTACACGGGGTAATGCAATAGGTTACCAACCAACAAAAGCACAAAGTGTAACGTGCTATTGAAAGTTTATCTACAGTGTAAATGTACAGGAAATTTTTAATTGTAGATGTCAGGAAGAGGACCTCATAGTTGCTCTAGACTCAACAACAGGCAGAATTCTACAGTGTGAGAAGACAGCTAACAAAAAGCGATTTTCATTTCCACTGGTAAGTTATTACAATTTACCTGTGTCTGTTAGTTGTGTCTGTTAGTTTTATTGGTTTTGTTCTTGCTCTTTTGGTGCCATTTATCAAGCGCCACTTAATTTGTATTTCTGTCAAATGCTTTTTAATAGCATTAATATTAGTAAGAGTTATTACTAACTTATTCTGACAGAATATTCCACACCTGTGTTAATGCTTGATCTTTGGTTTATTTTGTTATTTTCAGAGTCTATTTTCAGACAACAATAATATTCAAATAAGATATGATCTTCTGGACTGTAACATTTGTATATGTTCAACAACTGTGAGTTGATCAATTTTATAATATATTAAATGAATTTTAATGTAAAATTTCACTTGTTATGCATACTTGTAAACTACATGCTTGTGCTACATTTTCCTTTTATACATTTGACACTCTCTTGTAAATGTTCATCATTGTCGTCATCATCATCATCATCATTGTCACCCTCTCCTTTCTTGAGGAATTGAACTGTGCATTTGGCACTTCCAAAGCTGTCCTGTGTTGTAATATTAACTTGTGGGTACCCCTCTGTGGAGTCCCTTACATTTTTGTGGGCCGCCCCACATCTCGCGAACGTGAGAGTTGGCTTATGTCGGACATTGTGTTGACAGTGTTTAACGTTGCGTTGAGTATTTGAGCCTTATCTAAAGCTATCTTACAACATGGTGTCAGAAGTGAAAACCTTTTAGAGATTGAAAGGAGTTTATCAGGGCTTGGCTGAGTTACAAACCGCGATGGCTGAACGAGATACGAGAACTCCAGGTCCTTTGGTGCTCGATGCAAACGCAGCGGACAACTGGAGAAAGTTTTTAATGCAGTTTGAAATTTATCTTGTGGCGAAA